TCGCTCAAACCAGGCGAAGGGAGGAACGGCGAGAAGTCTCCTGGGGCTCCTGGGGCTGGTGGGACTCCTGCCGCCGCCGCCGCTGCAGGAGCAGCAGGAGCAGCAACAACAACAGGAGCAGCGGGAGGAGGAGGAAAGGGAGGCGGCGGGAATGGTGATGTCGATTCGGAAGCTGACGGTGCTGATGGAGGTGGTGGTGGGAGTGGCATCGAGGTTGTGCTGGAGGGCCGTCCAGGGGTAGTCCACCCCTCAGCAGCTAGGAGGGCGGCACTGGCGCTGCAGAAGAACGGATCCAGGATGCCCCTGGAGCGAGTCAGGTGAGTGGGGGGTCGTACAGATGTACGACGGCCCCCCTCAACCCCCATTCCATCTTCATTCTTCCCTTGCCTGTGTCGGCACAATGTGTTATCTGAGAAGTGAAGACGTACGACATCACCACACATACACACACATCTGTTGATGTGTTGCCTCCGACATCCCTATCATCATGTTTTTATGTCTGGGCCCCCTCTCCATGCGCTTCTCTTCCTACCAACTCCCTCTCCTCTCTTTGGCCTTTCTTTTGCGTCCTTTCCAACCCAGTTCTCCATTCTAACTTCTTTTTAGTTCCTGCCGGCATACACGTCGTCCAATGCGTCATTCCGTTGTCAATTCCGTCATCGCATACGACACCTTCTGTGTCGCCCTGCGCTGTCATTGCATTTATAAATCTTTTTAATCCCTGCGTTTTCTTCCGCTTCCACAGAGGTTCTGTAGGGCTTCTTGTTCCCTACTTCCCCGGTCAGCCAGCTTAGTACTCCCTTTCCCGTTCGCTGCTCACAACCTTGCTACCCCTCTGCCTCGCATGTGCCTTTGCCCGCTGCTTCTGCTGCCTGGCCAGGTGAGTCCGAAGGGGGTTCGAGCTTTGCTGGTTTATCGTGTTGCGTCGGTCGGCTAGCCGGACTAGGATAGTCGGGTCGGTCGGGTCGGTCGCGCGTTTTTTGGGGGGTTGGGAGGAGCACTTCCATATCACCAGCTTCTTATTACCAGCTAACCAGCCAGTTCTTGGCCGCCAAACCTCGGCAATGCCGCCGCCAGGCCGGCGGCAAACTTTATTCCAGCTTCACGTCAGCAGTTTTTTTACTACTTTTCCGCCGCTTCTACACCAACCTTTACTTCTTTACGGCTTGGCATTACTGCGTTTCTTCTGCGCTTATTTTAGTCTTGGCGGCTAGGTAGGTAGTTTTCTGACACCTTCTTCACTACGTCATCCCGAGGTCGCCGCCTTCAAGAACGCCTTTTGGTCAGTTCTACGTCTGGTACAGGCTTGCCCTGGCAGCAGCTTCACTCGTTCGTGGTTCGTCCTTCCCCCCTCTCCACCTCATCAGGCAGTTGGAGGGGCTGGTCAAGGCGGCACTAGGTCGGGACCCGGAGGCCGAGGATCCCGGACTGAGATCTGGAGACTTGCAGGCGGCATTGCTGGCGGGTGGGTGGTGGAGGGAGGGAAGGGGAGGGGAGAAGAGATTTCCTGACCCCCCAGTTACCCCCTTCCCGTCCTTAAATTCGATGTGTTTCCACCCCACCCGACCCCAGGTCTGGGTCGCAGGGGCCGTAACAAGTACTTCCGTGCAAATCATCATCATCATCAGCAGCAGCAGCAGCAGCAGCATCCACCTGACCACAGCCCAAGCAAGGTATCACCTGCTGTGCACTGCGCACATACTTCCGAAAATCCGGCCGCAGCTGCATCTGAGTCAGTGGCAGCAAGGCCGACAGCGCTGACCCCAATTATAAGTATGGACAACCCCCGGGCTGTTGAGTGGCTGGATAGCGGTCACCTGTGGCATGGAGAGTGTGTGGTGAAGCTGGCCATGCAGCGAGGAGGCGAGCAGGAGCTGATGCAGCTCATAAAGAGGTGTGCTGGAGTCGTGGGGTGTGGGTTGAGGTGGTGTGGGTGCGGCAAGACGAGGGGGGAGTAAGGCAGAGTGTGTGTGTATGTATGTATTGTAGGGGAAGGGTGGGGTCACTAGCGGCTGTGGTGATTGGCGGCACGGGGGAGTGGAGTTGCTGCTTGGCAGTATACTAGCTGTATGTTGGTGGTAGCAGTTCAGGGCTGCTGGGCACGCGGGCTGCTCCGATATTAAGCTGGAGAACGAGGATTAGTGTCCTCCCGCACACCCTCGGTGGTAGGGTCCACCCACAGCCTTCCAGTAGCACCTTCTCCCACCCGCTTCCCCTTCCCTTCCTGATACCGCTGTTGCTGACCTCCGGCCCCGGCAACCCCCTGTACACCGGCCCCAGGTTCCGCACATGTTTCGTGGAGGCTCTACAGCCGCAGTACCTGCCCCCCGCCTGGGGAGTGGACCACTCGGCCCGCCGGGACTTCGGACCCTACTCCGTGTATGCCCACAGGGAGGGCCCCCAGCGGCAGGAGGAGTGTGGAGGTGGTCATGGGGAGGGGCATGGGCAGCAGGGGTGCTGTGAGGAGGGGGAGGGGGAGGGGGAAGGGATGGATTGAAAGCCGCGAGGGCAAGAGCAGAGCAGGGGCAGACAGAGAGGGTTTGGAGGCAGGTTCAGGTTGACATTTTAGGGCATTGTAAAGCGCAATTCGTGGGACAGGGCTGGAGCGTGATGGGGGGTGCCGTAGGCAGCCAGTATGCCAACGGTTCCCCTCCGAGGGATTCCAGATGCCAAGTCTTCAGGGGAACCTATCTGTACTTGTATCGCTATCTCTCACCACCACCAGTACCGTACTCGAGTCTCCACATCCAATTCCCCACGACCCATAAAACCCAAATTGAATGACCACCCAAAGAGCTTTGTGGCGGGCTTTGGGAGGGAAGTTGAGAGAGCGGTATGGGATAGATGATATTGAGGTTTTCAGGGAACACTTTGCTGTACTATTAAATTCAGGTGTGGGGGAGACAGGGCCTGATGGTTTGATTCGGCTTTTGAACTACCATATCGGGTGCCCGGGGACCGGGCGCCGTACACGCTCGTCCAGCTGGGCGACCTAAGTGGGACGCGCGCAGGGACGCGACCTTTTCGACCTGGCAACTCGCAGATTTTGGTCGGCTCGCGCGACATTTCATTAGAGGACCTTTGTATGGAACGTTTTTAGGTCGCTCGAGCGTCGCAGGAGCAGTGGCGACGCACTTTGTGGAGTGATGCACGTCCATGGAGTCCAGGAATTAACTTTGCGCGAGCAGCCACTCTGTATGGCCAAGTAGCAATCCAATTTCCATTCTTCGTAAAAAAAATCGGGAGCGCAACGCTACAGGAGCGTCCATATAATAATAGGACAAGGGGCTCCGCTCGCCAAAGTAGACTTTGACGTGGTGGCGTTAGTAGAACCAAAACTAACTCCAGAAAAGCTTTACGAAATTCATCAAGAATACGGTGAACCCAAAGATAAGAACAAGCGGAACCTTGCGGAACCGAACGCAATCGATCAACGCAGCGATCACTCATGAAACACCAAGAGATGCAATGGAGGCTCACTCTAGGAACCAGGATTCCAATGACAAAGAGGTTCGGCAGGTCAACTCGTCGGGTCAAGTCAAGTCGCATGTCGCACGAAGTGCATTTCCCACAGGACAACGTATTACAAGTGACCGATTATCTCCGACACTGTCACATTGACATGCGCCGCACGGTGGTGGCCTGGTGGGGCTGCGGGACCTCCGCGGGACCCCCGCGGTGGGTGGTGGGGGAGCCACCCTGCGGCAGCATCACTCCTGGGCCTGCCCCGTGGCCCTGAGCACGGTGGGCCAAATTCAATTGCAGATGGTTGCTCGGGTGAGCCGAGCAAAGCTCTGGCTGATGCAAGCGCCACCCCCTTGGAGGGCTGTGTGTAGGTTGTGGTAGTGTGTCCTGAGGTGCCTGTGTAGGCGACTTTCCCCGAGTCCTGCTTTATAATTTTCTGGTGCAGTTGTGATGCGTCGCTGTTGCTCCCTGTTTGGTAGTGGTGTCCCGGTGGGTGTCTCTGCATTTTTGGGTGTTCTGCTGGCGGGCTGTAGCTACTGTTCACTTTCGGGCATTGTGATGCGGGGATGCGTTGCACCGACCTTGCAGGGGGTCCACTGTAACCTTCATTCATTCAGTGTATGTGAAGAAGTGCATGAATTCTCGGTCTTAGAGGGCATTGCGTTATGTGTGTAGTGTAGGGTGTGCAGGATTTCACACGCAGCGCAAGTCGCGCGCCTGCCAGGGATTCACACGGCAGCCCCGGCCCATCATCAGATCACACGCAGTGCAAGTCGCGCGCCTGCCAGGGATTCACACGGCAGCCCCGGCCCATCATCAGATCACACGCAGTGCAAGCCGCGCGCCTGCCAGGGATTCACACGGCAGCCCCGGCCCATCATGAGCCTATGACAGCTGCCGCCACGTCAAGGCGACTTGCTTTGTGTGCTCGTGAGGCAGGGAGCTCTGTCCAGCTGCCGCTGCTTCTGATGGGGTGTTACACTGTGGGCGGCTCGCCCCGAGAGAGGACAAGCACCGGGGGCTATGACCGGGCCGAAACACAGGGGCGGGCGGGCGCGTGGCTCTAAGTCCGTCTGTTCCGCCGCGCTCGCCTCACCCCCTCACTCACGCCAACCGGGGCGCTGTCCCAGCCCCTGGCTAGGCAACACAGCGGACACAGAAGACTGCGAACCGAACTAAGCGAGAGCCGCATGAGAGGCGCCACACTTCTGCCTTCTGTGATTGCGCTAAACATGTACCCGTTTGGTACCTGCTGAGGCTTTGCTGCTTGACCATCCACGCTCTTCTCGCACGTGGGTTTGTGACCTTCACAGCTGCTCCTCTATCTGTTACCGCAATCGTGCTCGCTGCCATCGGAGCGGTTACCTTTCGCTAGTACCCATTCTTGCGTGAAACACTCTTATATCAACCGAGTCTAATACAATAACCAGCAGTGAATTTGACAAAATGTCCTGCTCTCATCCAAAGTCAGACCTGTGCCTAAACGCGAACGTAAAGGCACAATTCTTTGTCAATATGTTCTTCGTTAAACGTCTTACTTATAACACTCGTAGAAATTGGGAATACTTTAGTTTTTGGTGTATATGTGAGCTCGAATGGGCTGGGGACCGGAAGGCACATAAATTAGGTCCCTCGCCGGTCCCACGGTCGTACATTCCCGGTCCCCTGGCCCTAGATATGCCCTACATATCCCTATTGAGCTACAAGACTGCGCCGACGCACAGATGATAGCCCAAGCACAGGTAAGAGTGGATGCGAGGAGAGAAAACTTCTCAAGGGTCTTACAAGTGATGCTTTTGAGCTTTCACAATTTATGCCTTCAAGCAACGTGAGATGGTGTTTCGCTTACCGTTACGTGATTTGTGTTAATTCCGGTTTCGTTTCGCCATTCCCTTTTGCCATAAACAACTAGGCTCCGGCACAGCGGCAGTGGCGGCAGCAACGCGGGCTGGACAGGGCTGGAGCGTGATGGGGGGCGCTGTAGGCAGGCAGATGCCAAGTCTTCAGGGGAACCCATCTGTACTTGTTTCGCTATCCCTCATCACCACCAGTACCGTATCGCACATCTGTATATGCGTCGACCTGTATGTGAAAATGATGGGGTTCTCTGAGGCTTTCTCACGCCGCTGCTGCTGCAGCTCCTGCCATCGCTCCTATTGCTGCTGCCGGGGGATCCTTTCGAAGCTCACATGTGTGGCCCTGCTTGTTTTTGGTTGTTTTTGAAGGTACTGGGCTACGAGAATCGTGCCCTGGCCTCCCTGCTATCGCGCATTGTGGGCCTGGATGTGGGGCCGAGAAGGCGGCGGGGCAGCGGGTCGACTGGGGGATGCGGCCGCTGCCACTGGCCATGCTTATCACGTCCTTTCAAAAAGAAACCTGAGTTTGTGTAGGCCAGAATCCTCGGCCGGGGCCACGTAACAAGTTAGAAAGCAGCCGTTGCACTCAATCAGCCGCAACTAAATCAACTGTTGCAACGTGCCGGGGGGCCGATTGCATTCGGATCCTTGTTTGGACATGCATGCTTTCTCATCGGACAGATTTGACCCGATGAAGGCTGAGCGAGGTCTGCTTAACCATGACGTGATCATCTTGACTGAGACAAAGGCGCCTGTTGATTAGTAACACGCCAGGGAGCAACTGGTATTACATGGCTATACCCATTTCGCATGCACGAGGGCTCCACGCACGGGTTCTCGAAGATTGGGCGGTGTATCTGTGTTTGTTCGGAGTGAGATGACTTCCCATGTGCGAGAAGTAGGCCGGACAATTGCTCCGATAGGGGTGGAGGTTGGCTGGCTTCGACTTCATAATGTACTTCCCTGGAGGTCGGGGGCTCCTCATGGGGGCAGATAATTGCTCACCTCAGGGGTCAAGTGTGCACAATAGCACGGCACGGGAGTTCAGTGACGTCCCTGATGCAGTATTTGTCAGCATTACTGGTGAGCTCGACAGGCTGCGGTGTGCGGGCGATGAGGTGCTACTTGCGGGTGATTTTAATGCCCGTACAGCGACTACTCCAGATCTGCCCGAAACGTTCAGTGCAGAGGCGCATCCCCTCCTAGGCATCACGTGCGCGAATAGAGATGCCGGCATCAATTCTTGCGGGCGGCGGTTGGCACAGATGTGCTATGACACTGGTACCGCAATTGTCAATGGGCGGGTGCCCGGAGACAGGTATGGAGCCCATACGTTTTCTAACTCTGTTTAGTGTCGTAGTTCTATGAACCTATGTATTGCATCCTCGAGCATCTAGACACCCTTTAAGTCCTGAATTTGTGGGGTGAGTTGAACGTCTTGAGCGATCATCATCCACTCAACCTTCGCCTGCACACAGCCGCGAGGCGTCTCTTCACGTCACCAGCGTCCCTTGCCAGCCACCAACACACATGTTCGGGTGCACCGAAGGGCCGCAGTCACCGATGGAGGGGAACCTTGTGGCGTAGTGGGGGACGGTGGCGTTTTGGAAACACATCGGTAAGGTTCCACTTCTACCCCATTTATGGGTGTGCGTTCACTTTTTGAAGGGCGAGCTCGTACCAGACGGAGCGCGGGTCTCCGTCCAATCTCTACGTATCCCTACATCCCCTCACATCTTACCCTCCCTACAAGAGTTGTGACATACATACATACATACATATGGGCAGACAGCACATAGGTGGAGAGAGGGCCCCGTGCGGATTGCAGTCAAGACCTACAGAAAACGATGTATCCCTCGCACTTCATATGGTCGTACAATTGCAAGAACCCGTCAATCATCATCTTTATACGGAAACTTCTCATCTCGGTGCTCCTTGAGTTTCACACGCAGCTCGTAGCAGTCGTCACCCTTGAGCATGTCAGACAACCAGCGACACTCCACATCCATATTTACCTATGTGGGGTGGGGTAGGATGGGAGGAATGATATGTGAAGCCCCAAGAAGCAACAGCGAAGTGGATGGTGGAAAACGGAACAGGACAGGGCAATTAGCCCGGCGTAGGCTGAGTTGGGTGGGAGGAATAATGAACAAGAGAGATTGGGGAAGGCTTCTTGTCAGCGAGATGAGCCATGTGCGCAGGGCAAGAGATGCAGTAGTAATTTTGGTACCTTCTCAAAGCTTCCTGTGGGAAAACAAAGAGGGAAGCGGAATGTGTGTGTGTTCTGCTGCATCCGGCGGTTCTCAGGTCGGTGGTCGGGAGGGTGGAGGGGCAGACGGCCGGTCAGGAAGAGGGAGAGGAAAACACTCAGCGCATGCACACACATACATACACACAAACACACGAAAGAACACATTTCGAAAGAAGGCGTTGCACCTTTCATTGTTCACTGCCTTCATCCTACATTCTCAAACTTTTTGCATGTGTCTAAATGCATACACGAGCAACAGGTACAGACAAAAACACCTCACTCCGATTGCCCAGCGGCCCCCCACCCCCCAGACCTCCCCAAACCCCCCTCGCCACCCACCATCTCCAAGGCCCCCCGCACCACCCCTGCCAGCACATTGCAGTACTTAAGGTCCCGGTACTCCTCCGGCAGCTCCACGAAGTCAGCCAGGGGATTGTCCGTCAGAATCTGCGGGAAGATCGGATGAGCGAGCCCGAGGGGCCCCCCAGGGAGCGGGGCGTGGTGAGAGGAGGGAACGACCCACATGGCGGCTAGGGTACGGTGGTGTAGGAGAACGCGCTTGAGAAAGTTACTGGCATCTGAAGGACTGCCAGCCCTAGCTATCCAACCTGCGATTGCCCAACCCAGCCCTGTGCACCAGCCGCCACTTCCACAGCCCCAGTGCCATGGTGGGTCTCCACCCCCCACTCTACCCCCCTACCTGTTCAGCGGCAGGCAGGGCCCCGTACGACGATCCCGTTGGCCCAGGCTCCTTCCCAAAGCCCCTACCCCCAACCTCGATAACCCTTCCTTCCCGCAATAAACGCCTAAACCACGCCGTAGCCCCAGGCTCCTTCCCGCAATAAACGCCTAGACCACGCCATAGCCCCAGGCTCCTTCCCGCAATAAACGCCACGCGAACCACACAAACCCTGCTTCCTGCTCGGCACAGCTTCGGTTCCCCTCTTCCCTCCCCCTTCCCACCAGACTACACTCGGTTTGATCCGGGCTCCAGTTGGCCACACTGGCACTGACGTTCAGGAACATGGGGAGAGCCTGCACGGGGGGAGAGGTGTGATTACGTAGTGCGAGACACGGGGGAGCCCTCCCGAGGGGGGGAAAGGCCAGGGGGAACACAGGAGGGGGGAGCCCAGGTCCTATACATTCAAGCCGCCGCCAGTAGTACACGAGTACAAGTCTCAGGTCTTCATTTCGGAAGCCCTCAAACCGCCGACCGACCCTAAGCTCCATAAAGACGGCGCAGGCCTCGGTCCCTAGCCCCCAAAAGTAATGGTTGTGTTGGGTGGGGGCCACACTGCGGAATGACATGGTGAATAGCGCCAAACGCCCCAAATCCTTTTTTTCCTTCAAGTCCAGAATTCCATCTCCCAGATTTCGCCTTTTTTGTATGCTGTTCCACTCGTGGGACAGAGATTTTCTCAATACTGTAAACAGGGTCTAGTTTACTCGTAAATTGAAAACTAAAGTAATCGACATTTAAGTAGCTTCCATGGGTAGTTTATGCTCATTCGAGTTGGGGAGGTCGTCTCAGACACCGCTCATGATCTTCCTTGGCAGTTCGCTCGGGAGAACCCCTTTACGACTTTCCCGCGCGCGTGATGCGGATGCTTGACCCGCCACTGTCCTGTCCTGTTGCCCCTTGCCGCCCCACCTGCTTGGCAACCACCTCGGCAGTGTCCCGGAAGGACGAGCAGCGAGTGATCTTGGCCTTGGCTAGGAACTCATCCACAAGGCGGATACCCATATTGTAGCCCCTGGAGGAAATAAACGGTGGGAATGGGCGAGGGAAGGATTGGAGGGGAGGGGAAAGGCGGCCAAGAGGAGAAGACGGACAAACAAGGCAGGGGTATACACGGGCAGCAGTAGAGGAGACGCGAGATTGCAGTAGAGGGGGACGCGGGCGGGGGGGTGCCCTCGCACGAGATTGGTGTGGTGTGGGTTATTTGTGAGTTCGAGCCTGGACTGGGGTACGGAGTCGGCAAGTTGGGAAGGGTCGAAACGTTGCAGGTGGAGAATGGGCTCCTTTTAAGTAACTCAAGGGGAGATGGGCTCCCTGTAAGTAATTTAACCTGCTGCACTAGCACAGTGGTCGAGAAGCTGGCGTGGTAACATACTTACATCTGCTCTAATTGCTTGTTGACCTCCTCAATGTCCTCGAAATCTGATATGAGCTGCCGGACGATCGAACC